GGTGTGTGCGTGGACGCGAGGAGGCCGCCGCGTCCCGTCAGCGTGGTGGCAGCACCGCAGGCGGCTTTGTAGAGGAGGGTGGGAGAGGCGGCCTCCGAGCTGCTCCCTGAAGGATGAGCCGGGCCCCTCCAGTTTAGACGGGAGGGGGAGGCACTTGAGCAAAGCATGTGCCGTGAGACAGAGTGACTCCTGGAATTTACGACGGCTGGTGTGAGTGGAGGAAAGCAGTGTTTGCTGCAGTCTAAACCAGACGTCTCCAGAGTTGGGAGTATACACCAGTATGCTCAGTGTGTCAGCTACGTATGGACGGCCATTGTCTCATGTATGTAGTATAAACACAGAATGTTTTATAATGGTGTTAAAATCAGTTATAATATGCTAGCGCCTCAGCATATTGTGTAATGTAGCCCACTTTGGAAATTGCTGACTTAGATTGCAAAGGTTTTTACAGTTAGCCAATGTATTTTTAGTCCTTTTGGAACAGGATAGGAAGTCAAAGAGGTCTTTAGACGTGGTCAGTGTCATTAGATTTGTCATGGATTTTCTAGGAAGATTGTCTTGGAACAAAAAAGCCTCAGAAGAAAGATATCCTGACTTAAAGCAGAGTGGTCTGAAATGTAATGATGTCATAACCTGTCCCCCTTTAGAACCTTCAGTGACGTTCCCTGATTTGAGCGTTAAGTCCAAGCTCGTTACACTGCAGTCACACTGGGCATCTTGCAGTTCTCTAGACAAGCCAAGCTCTCAGCACTTAGTCGTGGGTTGTCCCCTCTTGGCCGAAGAGTGGTGCCTCCTCCCAGTTCCCAGTCCTCCTGCAGCTCAGTTTAAATGTTCGCTTCATTGGAGGCAGGCCTCTTCAGTATGTAAATTCTCTCCTGCTTTCCTTTTTGTGAGAACACAGTGCTTATTTCCTTGGTTAAATTAGTTGTAGTGATGATTTTCTCTGCCTTTTCCACCAGGGCTCATACTTGCTGAGTGCTCTCCATGTGCCAGGCACCCTGTAAATGCTTTGTGTGGGTTCTCCTTGAGCCGCACAGTTGGCCTGTGTGGTGTAGGTTATTATAACTCTTACAAGTAAGGATGTGAGTCACAGGTTATGTGATTTGCTCAAGGTCACTTATGTGAAGGAGTAGGATTTGGATAGTCTAGCTCTGAGGTCTCTGCTGATGGTAACCTGATGATACCGCTTTCTGCTCTGTGGTCGGGGGATGACTGGGGAACCTTTTGTACATGATTGTGTTATCTGATGCCTAACACAGATCCTGGCTCACAGTAGGTACTCATTAACATGGGGTTGTTGAAGGAATGGAGAGAATTGTTGAACAGATTTGCTAGGAGTAGTTTAGAGATAAATGACTGTTTTCTTTAGAGACAAAGTGAATGGTGATGCCCCTTACCAAGAATGAAATTGTGGGACATAAATGATGTGGTAGAAGGCATGAGCTACACATAGAATTGTGGGGCGATCCAGGAGGATGTCTGTATGTGTAAGCTGTATAAAGGTTCTGGCAGGAAACTTGGCATCAGTGCCGACTTTCACAGTAGATTACATACATAACAGGTGTGAAGGAAGGAGGTAGTCACCAACAACATCTCTTAACAGTTTTACCCTCCTGAATCTCTTTGTAATAAATCAGTAGAAAAATGAAGTACTCTTAGCATAAGTCTTCTATTTCAGTGCCACCACCTAGCACAGGGTCACTTAAATTTGTTGAAAGTAGGGACATTGCCTTAAGATACAATGTGTTAAGTTTAGCAAGGTCTCAGGATACAATATCAACATAGAAACATCAGATTCAGTAGTCTTTTTTTTTTTTGGTAAATTCTTGATATTTTATGTACACAATTATGTCATCTGTGAATAAAAAGTTTCTTCCTCCCTCCCGGCAAAAAAGATACTGTGTTTAAAGTTTAGGGATAAAAATTACCCAGGAGTTTTAGAACCTTGACTAAATCAGTTTAAAGGCAACATTGTAAAAACACTCAGTTGAGCATTGTCTTGGTAATTTATGTCCTCTCAAGAAAAAGGAAGATGACTGGGAGAGCCCGAGCGAGAGCACGCGGAAGGGCCCGTGGTCAGGAGACGGTGCAGCACGTGGGCGCCACTGTGGTGAGTGCGGGTCGCTTTTCTAACTACAGAAGGCCTTCTTGAGAGCAGACCGTTGTGAGGCCTGTGTTAGCATCGGCTGTCACAGTTAAACAACTGCCCTGTGAGGGAGACAGGAACTGAACAAGGACGATCACGTTCTATTCCTGAGGATTTTGGAAGCTGGTTCTCAGTTAAATTGGTGACCCTTGAAGAAATTCCTTTATGAGAATAAAATATTTGATTACTAATTTAGGTCAGTTTTGGTTGAATGCCTTAGACTTGTTTAAGACTAGTTACTTCCTCTGATGTCTGTGACCTCTTGACATAAAAGGGACACTGTTCTCTGTTCACACGTGACTGCAGAGCCAGCAGCCTGGTCATGTCCAGCCTGGACCTCAGCCGCCACCGGCAGAAGGGGAGCTGGCTGGCCGCGGACGGCAGAGGGGAGCCATAGGAGCGACAGCCAAGTCACAAGGTGAAGGAAGAGTGAAAGATGTCGTGTGTACGTTTGTGACATTGGGCACGGGACAGGAAGCACCACTCCTCAGTGAGAGAGAGAGGTCCAGCCGTCCTTTGAGGTGTAGCGGGACCTCTCTGCGCAGCCTGCTGCTGCTGGGGGCAAACGGAGCGTGGAGGGAGTGAGTACCCCGGAGCCCCGCACTGGCTGTCACAAAGCAAGTAAATTCTAAACTTACTGTTAATTTGCTCGCTATGCATTAGTAAGCCATTTTAGAACATTCTCTTGGTATCTTTAGTGATTTCATCAAAGCTCTTGAACATTTGTAACTTTGATTTATAAAAAGTTTTTACATGTCTTGGTTTATCCTGTTTTCCCAGCTGCAAGTCGGCGTTGTGAGAGCCAGTAGAGTTAAAACACCAGTTCTGATTCCCAGAATTGTGCTTTTTACTGCATTGTTGCAGAAATGAATTATTTGGATGCTTGGTTTGAGAGTCTCCGAAAGTTATTAAGCTTGGTTTTGGTACAGGAAAAAACGGACCTGTATGCCTTTACAGGAAATTAATGTAGTAATATTGGCTTTTATGCCCTGGGGTGGGAATGGGAAATGGGCTATTCAGTAAAATAGTGTTGAGACAAATGGAAAACTAGCAGACAAAGCTGGGTCCTTGCTTGTTGCCTCGCAGTGAGTTTCCGTGTACTCCAAATATTTGGTCATAACCAACGACATCCAGAAAATCAGAGGAAAACATGGCTGAATCTGAAGTCAGTTTTGACGCAGTCTGAAGTGACCTGTGACAGGTACTGTCAGTGTCAGAAGACAGCCTGGAAACTTTCTGACCTGACAGAGGAGCGTCTCTGGCACGCTGAGTGCTGTGAGTCTGTGATGCTCCCAAGCTGGTGGGAAAGTGGGCAGAGGCAATGGCAGCGCGTTGAAAGCCACAAAGGCCACTGAGAATGGTAGCCTTGTCGTTACGTTTAAATCAAACCGGAGCAGTTGTTTTCTGCTTATTCTCCATTTTGCTTTCTGCCAGTGTTGGCAACTGTAGAGCCAGAACTTGTGCTCCCTGTAGGGCTGTTTAGTTGTACTGACCTTTGGATACATTTTGTAACGTGTGCATCATTACACTCTCATTAGCAATTCATTCATGGGAGTGCACCCAGATGCTGGGTGAGTACAGGACTTGTGTGAGGGTGTTACCTACAGGCAATACCCCCCAACTGGAAACTGAGAGGTGAAACCTCCTGTGCTTTAACAGTAGAGTATCAGTTAGGCGTTTTCAAGAATGTAGAAAACTGCCTGCAATGAAAACGAGTTGTAAAACAGAATTACTTTTGTATTTTTAGTAAATACATGTATGTGTATGTATGTATTTTCTGTATAGAAAATTTTCAGGAAAAATGCATCCATTAATAGTGTTTCATTTGAAGACCCAGTTGGAAGACAGAAGGTCTTTTGTTACGTCATATATCTAATTACATATCTTACTCTTGTGGTACTATAAGCTGTTTTATTTTTTAAGGTGCCTGATGACAAGTCATTCTGGGCATTAATCTTTAATTTATAGAATTTTATCCAGTCATCTTGCCTAGATGCCTCAGTTCTTTTTTTTTAATTACCCATTTAATCTAAAAAGTGAACAGTGGGATACAGTCTATCCTGTTTAAATGTATTGTAGTAAGCTACAAATGATTCTAATGATAGAAACTTGAACTTGCATGAGTTTCAAAATATAACCCAAGTAAGAATTCTGTATCCAGCATTATAGCAGGCTAGGTAGTCTCCAACTACATACCTTAATGTGCTAGATTTTAAAATATCTTTTTAAAAAATCCATTTGATCTGGCAAGAGAGTTGGAGAATCTTCAGAGGTCAGAAATGATGAGAACAAATCCAGAAGGGGAGTCAAGTGCTAAAACCAGTGACTCACCAAGAAGCACCTCCGAATCACTTGCTTTTGTTTTTCCCACCGGGTTTATTGGGAGATAATTGATGTGTGTCACTGGGTAAGTTTAAGGTCATGCAGCATGGTGGTTTGATTTACAGATGCTGTGGAATGGCTACCTCATTAGGTTCAGCAAACACCGTTTTCTGATAAAGATACAGTTGAAAGGAAACAGGAAAAGGAATTTCTCCTTGTGTGAGAACTCTTAGAATTTGCTCTCTTGACAAACATCCCGTACAGCCTACAGGGGTGTTAGCTGTAGGCCTCATGTTGTACATTGTATCCCTCGTGCTGCTCTGTCTTACAACTGGAAGTTTCACGTCTGGACCACTTTCCTCCAGTTTCCCTTCTCCTACCCTCTGCCTCCGGTAACAAGTCTGATCTCTGTTTCTGTGGGTCTGGTTTCGGTTTCTGTTTTGAGATTACCCATGTAAGTGAGATCATACAGTATCTTCTTTCTCTAACTGATTTCATTTAGCATAATGCTTTCAGGGTCCATCTATGCTGTTGTGAGTGGTAAGCCTTCCTCAGTTTTTATGGCTGCATAATGCTTCATTGTATATATGCACAACTTTTTTATGCATTCATCTATCAATGAACACTTAAATTGTTTCCAGGTCCTGGCTATTGTAAATAATGCTGCTACCAACATGGAGGTGCAGGTATCTTTTTGAGTTAATATTTTCATTTCCCTTGGGTACATTGCCAGAAGTAGAATTGCTGGATCATGTGGTGGTCCTGTGTTTAATTTTTTGAGTGGCTGCACCAGTTTAAAATCCCACCAGCAGAGCACAAGGATTCTTTTCGCCACATCCCTGCCAGCATTTATCATCACTTGTCTCTGATGATGGCCGTTCTAACAGGTGATACCTCTTTGTGGATTTAATTTCCATTTCCCTAATGACTAGTGATGTTGAGCATCTTTTCATGTACCTGTTGGTCTTTCATGTGTCTTCTTTGGAGAAATGTCAATTCAGGTCTTTTGTCCGTTTCTAAAATTGGCTTATTTGGCTTTTTGCTGTTGAGTTGTATGAATTCTTCATATATTTTAGCTGTTAACCCCTTATCAGATAGAAGGTTTGCAGATATTTTTCTCATTCTGTAGGTTGTCTTTCATGTTGATGGTGGTTCCTTCTCTTGTGCAGAAGCTTTTTAGTTTGTAGTCCCACCTGTTTATTTTTGATTTTGTTGTTTGTGCTTTAGGTGTCACATTTTTTAAAATAATCATTACCGAGATCCATGTCAAGGAGCTTTTTTCCCCTATGTTTTGTTCTAGGAGTTTAATGGTTTCAGGTCTTACATTTAAGTCTTTAATCCATTTGTAGTTAGTTTTTGTGAGTGGTGTAAGATATGGCTCCAGTTTCATTCTTTTCATGTGTATAGCCAGTTATCCTACCACCATTGGAGACTGTCATGTTTTCCCATTGAGTATTTTTTGCTTCTTTGTCAAATATTAACTGACCATATATGCTTGAGTTTATTTCTGGGCTCTTGATTGTGTTCCAGTGGTCTGTGTGGCTTTTTTTGTGCCAGTACCACACTGTTCTAATGACTATAGTGGAACAGTATATTTTGAAGTTAGGAAGTGTGATGCCTCCTGCTTTGTTCTTCACTTCAGTCCGGTTGAAACTTAGACTATTTGACATGTTTAGCTGTGTTCAGCATATTCAAAACTGCATTGAATGAAATATAACTGTATGAGAAGATATGCCAAAGCTGCTTTAAAAACATTTCCTTATTTCAACTTTAAAATGCAAATAAAATGGCAGGAAATACCGAAATCTAAATATTCTCTGTATTGATCTTCACTAAAAATTCTTAACAGTTATTCATGAATTTAATTCTATGAAACTCAGTTCCCTATCTGTAAAAAGTACCTGGCTTTATAGGTAAGGGTAGGATTAAATAACCCTCAGGTGACAAGGCCCTGTTTTACCACCTTTCACTGCTCTTAGAAGTGTTATATCTGAGAAGTGCTTGTTACAGCAAATGTTCAAATGTTTTAGAAATTTGAATAATGGCTCTAACAGATTATCATTAATGAGACATTGCTTAGGACCTTGAATTTTCACTCTGTTAGGAGTGTGGATACGTTGAAGGACTTAAATAGAACAGTAGCAAGAACTGGTCTGTGTTTTTAATAAGTCACTCTGGCAGCTGGAATTAGCAAGGTTTCCAGTTGTATCCATTTTGAAATCTGTCATCTTTCTAGATTGACAGTTAATCAAGCTTTGACTGAAATATAATAGCGATATTATACGTAGCAAGGGGAACAGATTTCATCATTGTTTACATTCAGAAACTTGGAATCAGGTTTTGGTAGCCAGAATTTAATTTTTTTTCAAGAGAAACTCAAATTTTTCAGGGAAAAATTCAAATCAAGGCTTTATGACCTGTTGTTGCTGTCAGCTTGGATTCAGTATACCTGACCTTTGTTAATGTGGTTGATCCATGTGTTACTTAAACTGAAGGTCTTTGGGATACAAAGTTTGCCAAGGGAGACAAATGGAAACAGTTACATATTTAAAGGATTTCTAAGCAGAGCCCGTGAAAATCAGGAGGCGCAGGAATCAACACATTTAGTGTACCTTTAAAGAGCTTTATCAACGACGTTCTCATTTAAAACACTACATGCCTGTAAAGTTTATCATCAGTTTTTCAGGAGAAGAAATTGAAGCTCATACTAGAATAACTTGTTTCCACGGTGTACCGGGAACTGATATAGTTGGCTTAAGCTACACTACTTCTCCAACGAAGAAGTCCAGAAGCCGGCAGTTCTGGGCTAGTTTGGACATTTGTGGTCAGAAGAGAACTGGGCTCTTTTGTCTTTTTGTCTCCTCCTGAGTCCGTGACCTCTGCCATCAAGACACAGGTTTTGTTCAGAATGTGTGCTTGAGCTCCCTCCTGCCATCACATCCAGATTCCAGGTGGGACTGGCAGCTAGGGGCGGGGAGCACGTAACAGCCAGCTTAGTGACTCCAGAGGTGCCTTCCCAGAAGTGTCGTCTGGTTAATTCCTGCATCAGCCTCTTAGGCCATCCTCACCTGCCAGGAAGGTGGAAATTCTAGCCTCTTAGGCATGTTACTCCCAAAATAAACTTTTTAAAGAAGAATGGAAGATTGGTTATTGGGTAGTCAGCAGGCTCTGCCACACAAGGAGAAAGCTAGGATGTAACACTTGCTTACAAAACCCACATCATGCTATTGATACGAGATGCTTAACTTTCCACAGACTAAAGGACTTAATAATTTAGGGTATTTTAAGCACAGTTTTTGCAACTAAGCACAAACTGGTAGTTAACTATCCCAGTAGATGTGTTTCATGGCCCAGGATATACATGGGCCCATCCCATCTATTCTGCTGGTTCTTGAGGGGCTTAGTGAGGAAGTGACATTTTAGACTTAACATTTTCTGTTTCAGGTTGCACATTTAAATCGCATGAATTACCAGTTCCTATTGCTATAATTACGTCATAAAATTGTGGAAAATACTGTTGTTAAGGCCCGTAGGTGGTTATCAGACCTACAGTACAGAAAAATAATCTCCCAGTCGACAAGCATGCTCCTGAGTTCTTGACTCCTTCCAGTAGTCACGATGGTGTGTGTGTCTTGTCAGGGAGCTGGGTTTGCCCGGGGTAGTGACGAGAAAGGCCTTCGTGGAAAAGGCTGCAGCTGAGAAGTGACTCTCTCCTCTGGCTGGCAGGTCCCTGAAACGTCTGATGGGGTGCTCCCCGTGGTTGTCAGCCCCTCAGGAACCTTTGGGTCCAGGCAGTGCACCGCTTTGGAAATTGTCATCCTGCATTTCACGCTTCATACTCCTTAGGTGTGTAACTTTTTATTATTTGCTTATTTTTATTTTAAAGAACTCCAGATATCCGCCGGATTTCAGGAATTATCTCTGTCAGAGAGAGGGGGTCGCCGTAGAGACTTCCACGATCTTGGTGTGAATACAAGGCAGAACCTAGATCATGTTAAAGAATCAAAAACAGGTGGGTTAATTATTAACTATGGCTTCATGAGATGACTTTCCAAGTACACAGGACAGTGAACTGAAGCACTTTTAATTTAGGTATTTGTTTATGTGATGCATTACTGGGGTGAAAAAGCACATTTGGCCAAAGATTCTGCATGGCTGGCTTTTCTGCTTTCCTCTCCCTTTGGGTTTTGAAATCGGTTATAGATGCCTTCGGCTTCACTGAAAGGTTTTACTGTGCACTGCGTAGATCACTTGTTTCTTTTAAAGCTTTTTGCTGTGAAGAGATTTTGTTGGTTCTCTTGTAAGTTACTTAGCCTAGGGAGGGTTTATTTCTAAGTGTATGGTTTTAGTAATTTAACGGAGTGGGCTGGTAGTCCCCAGGTCAGATGTCTGAGAACTTCCGTGTTGTCTGCTGCTCTGAGCCCGTTGGCAGAGCTGTCTGCCTTGTCGTGGTAGGGAAGATTTCAAGAAAGAATAAACTTGACTGTTTGCTAATTGCAAAGTGACCTCCCTTTACAGGTTCTTCAGGTATTATAGTAAGGCTGAGCACTAACCATTTTCGACTGACATCCCGCCCCCAGTGGGCCTTGTATCAGTACCATGTTGACTATAACCCACTGATGGAAGCCAGAAGACTCCGCTCAGCTCTTCTTTTTCAACACGAAGATTTAATTGGAAGGTGTCATGCTTTTGATGGAACGATACTATTTTTACCTAAAAGACTACAGCACAAGGTTATTTCAGATGTCGGGCTGGGGGAAGGGGGGATGGGTATCTCCACCTCAGAGCAAAGCTGCCTCAGCCTGGGGCAGCTCTCAGAGCCCAGGGTCTCCTGTCTGCTACGCGTGTGGCGTGCCCGCAGGGCACTTGGGCACTCGCAGCGTTCTCAGGGCCATCTGAGTAACTTCACGATTACAGTTAAGTGATAATGAGGCGCTCCGTCACTCTCTTCTGATAGCCAGTCTTTTTTTACCTAATTTAAAACTTTCCTGTACTTTTCATTGTTGCCTTCTTAAGCAGGCGTTATGTGATTGGGCTTATTTTAATAATTAAAATTTGGTTTTCCACTGCCTTGGCTCACTCAGGTTACTGAAGTTTTCAGTCAGACCCGAAACGGAGAGCACGTGAGAATAATGATCACCTTAACAAACGAGCTCCCGCCGACGTCCCCGACGTGTTTGCAGTTCTACAATATTATTTTTAGGAGGTATGTTAGTACTTTTAAAAGCGTTTTATTAAGAAATTTTAAAACATACTCAAAAGTCGAAAGACGTGTACAATTGAGTACCTGCATACTTATTACCTAGACTTTACAATGGCTGGATCGTTGGGTTACTCTGAATTTTAATTGTTTTTAGGTGTGATGTACCGATATAAACCTCATTTACTTGCTGTTTAAGCAAGTGTTCTGTCTCTGACTTCCCTACTCGTGTTGACATTACATGCTTTAAATCGTACTTGAGCTTATGTTAAGAACCGTGTTCTCTCAGGAGTTTATCGCTAGCTTTGCTTTCCTTCTCCCCTACTGTGGATACCTGTTCAGGAAACAGGACAGGATTTAGGTCTGTTCAGATTTATTTGCTCCATCATAGGACACATACTGCAGGCTCTATAATTTACTTTCATTGTGGACACTGTATTTTCCAAATCCAGAATTTAGAACATGCACTTGATGAAGACCCCTCCCCCATCCCCCTGCTCAGTGGGAAGCAGTCTGGATGAGGCTGAAGCTGACAGGAATGGTACTGAAACATGATCCTTGGATTTCTGATTTACCTTTTTAAGTTGGGCATAGATACCTGCCACTGGTGATAGGATATCTGTTTTGGTGGATACTTATTTAAATTAGTGTAATGGAAGGTTTATTTTTCTGTAGATGACGGGTTGGCAAACTACTTTTTGCAAAGGGCCAGATAGTAAACATTTTAGGTTCTGTGTCTGAGCTCTTTAGCTCTGCCATTGAAATACAGAAACAGTCAGTGTATATGAATGAAAGGTCATGACTGTGTTCCAATTAAGCTTTACTGGAGAACACTGAAATTTGATTTCCATATGATTCATACATCATTGATTAATCTTTTGGTTTTTTTCTTGACCGTTAAAAAATGTAAAAACAAAAAAGAGTATCTCCCAGCCGTACAGAAAACAGGTGGGCTGGATTTGGCCCACCCACAAGCTGTAGTTTGCCAACCCCTGCTCTAAACAATATGCCGCTCTGATTGTAGTGTTAGAGATGCTTACCAGTGTTCACTATCCTGACCTTTCAAATTCTAGGCTTTTGAAGATCATGAATTTGCAACAAATTGGACGGAATTATTACAACCCAAGTGACCCAATTGATATTCCAAATCATAGGTTTGTATGAAGTGGGAAGTTTCTGTTCCTTACAACTTTGAAAGTGATGCCCTATTTTAAAATGATCAAATTTTCTGTGGCTGTTAATGGTACACATCACATTAGGTGAACGTTTAACTCGGCTTAAATAATAAAGGATGCATCCCAGAATACTTGGATTTTAAAAGTCACGTGATCCTCATCCTTCACTGGGGAAGCAGAGAGAGTTGGCCTACACGAAGTTTGTATTTGCTCTTAGGGAACAAAATTCATCAGCTGACAGCTGCTTCAGAAGGTACTCTGGTGTCTCAAGACTGCTGCTCACGAGGCTGGGCTTCTTACTGGAGGCGCTTTCCGTTAGGCTGGCAGCTTTTTCAAGTCTTAGGTCAATATTAAGGAATAGTTTAACGAAGTGTCAATTTCAAATGAAGCTTGGAAAAGTATTATAATATAAAATAGCATTCATTGTTGAAGATCTTAAAATGGTAAGTCTTCATCTGGGACCGTGTAAAACCTAGAAAAAAATAAATTTACTCATACTTGTACTTTCGGATCCAGTTACTAAAGGTGAAAACCAAAACTTGATACGTGCAAAACGTGTTTGGATATTCCTAGAGGTTACTTCATGGCTCTCGCTCTGTTTGACAGGTTGGTGATTTGGCCTGGCTTCACTACCTCTATTCTTCAGTATGAAAATAACATCATGCTTTGCACGGATGTCAGCCATAAAGTCCTTCGAAGTGAAACTGTTCTGGATTTCATGTTCAACTTGTATCATCAAACCGAAGAACATAAGTTTCAAGAACAAGTTTCTAAAGAACTGATAGGTCTAATTGTTCTGACCAAGTAAGATGTTCAGTGATGCAAATTCACAATGTCACAAGTCTTAAGCTGTTGCTGCTTTCCAGTCCTGTAATATGAGACAGAAAGAAAGTGGGCTTAAGTTCAGTGACAGTGGCACAGAAGTGGGGGGAGGGTGCTTATAACCTTTCTCAAGAACACGAGTTTTCGGGGAGTATTCTCATCTGAAAAGGACACATATCCATCCAATGACTTCTACCCTTTGTAGTTCAATTTTATTTTCTAATAGTAATTTAGTTGCTTCCCCATCCATTTAGCATAGTCTTTAAGAAATTATTTTCCTTTCCTCTTTCCGTAATACTATATATTACCAAGTGATTTGAAGTTTTATTTTTTAGAGAATGCATACCATCTAGCCTCTCTTTTTTATTTAATAATATTTCTACACGTTTTAATCAGATACCAATAGATCTCACCTGGTCCATAGGTACAACAATAAAACGTACAGAGTGGATGATATTGACTGGGACCAGAATCCAAAGAGTACCTTTAAGAAAGCCGATGGCTCTGAAGTCAGTTTCTTAGAGTACTACAGGAAGGTAAGGAGTTAATGTTGATTTTTATCTTTTTAATGTTGAAGTGCTTAGACCTTAGGGGAAATCTGAAATACCTGTAGTGAAAAATCTGCAGTGAAATTCTAAAGGTGTATATATGGAACAAGTTGCTTTTAAAGCTGTATATAAACGTTCATTAAGGTAGTTGCAACGTAGCTCATTAGCAAATGAGATGTACCCTGTCCTGGTTCCTTTTCTGCAATAGAATGAGGTTACTCTTGAATTTAAGCACGTGGAGGACAAACAGGATAATGGACAGTAAACAGTACTAGTTAACAGCTTACCATGCTGCCCCTCATTGCATAACCAACAGTGTTCTTTTCCACTTTATCCGGCAGTGGGAGGCTGAAGATCTGTAAACCCTTAACGTCAGTTATGATAAATCTGCATGTGCGTTAACAATTAACTTTTGTTTCACATGTTGACAGAATTCAGACAGACTTGTTTCATGCAGGTGAGGTCAGTTTTTTGGGTGCTTTTCTATCACCAGTTTTATAAAGATGATTCTAGCTTTTGACGCTAAATTGGAAAAAAACCAGAGGCAAATAGTAGCAAGAAAGATGAAGTACCAACCAGAAGAAAATGAAGGGTTTGCATGGGAATGCTTACTGACGTTTCAGCGTTCAGAGTTAAGCAGATCTGTCCCCAGGTCCTTAGCAGGTCACATTCCATTTGATGTGCTCTGTTAAAAGTGCAGGAAAAGTGTTTCAAGAAAACACCTCAGTTAAAATCTTATCACTTGTCTTTGAAGTGCTAAAATTTATCTCATTTTTCTACTCTTAGATCATTTCCTTTTTCTAAAAAGTGGAATAAATGAACTATTATGTATTTTTGTGTCAGAGTATACATCTGCTAGAGACCTTTGAAATGTCTTTGTGCCGTTGCCTGACTTTCAGCTGCTCTCCTGTGAATGAGAAGGTCAGGTGCCACTCTGGAGGGAAGTGGTTCTCTGAGCGGCCATGTCAAGAATTGGTGTTAATATGGGCAAAATGAGAATAGGCCAAGGGTCATGTCGTCTCAGCTTGATTTCCCTACTGCTGTTTGCAGCCTCTGAAAATTCCTTGAGGACCCAACCATGTTTGGCTTAGATTGTTCTGGGTGTCAGATGTTACTGTGAGAAATGAGTTTTAGCAGTTTGCTGTGGTTTATTTTAATAATTACTACCAGGGATGGAAGAAGTGGTATGTATCAACAGCAGATATAAAAAGGACATCATTTGAAGGTTTGATTTAAACCTGAAGCAAGGTCAGGGAAAATTCTCCCCTTCTCTGGCCAGTATTATGGAGAAAAGGGAACCCTCCTACACTGCTGGTGGGAATGCAGTTTGGTGCAGCCACTGTGGAAAACAGTATGGAGATTCGTCAAAAAACTAGGAATTAGACTTACCATATGACCCAGGAATCCCACTCCTGGGCATATATCCAGAAGGACCCCTACTTCAAAAAGACACCTGCACCCCAATGTTCATAGCAGCATTATTCACGATAGCCAAGACATGGAAACAGCCTAAATGTCCATCAACAGACAACTGGATAAAGAAGATGTGGTATATTTATTCAATGGAATACTACTCAGCCATAAAAACCGACAACATAATGCCATTTGCAGCAACATGGATGCTCCTGGAGAATGTCATTCTAAGTGAAGTAAGCCAGAAAGAGAAAGAAAAATACCATATGAGATCGCTCATGTGTGGAATCTTAAAAAAAAAAAAGCATAAGTACAGAACAGAAATAGACTCATAGACATAGAATACAAACTTGTGGTTGCCAAGGGGGTGGGAGGTGGGAAGACATAGACTGGGATTTTAAAATTGTAGAATAGATAAACAAGATTATACTGTATAGCACAGGGAAATATACACAGGATCTTATGGTAGCTCACAGAGAAAGGAATGTGACAATGAATATATATATATGTTCACATATAATTGAAAAATTGTGCTCTGCACTGGAATTTGACACAACATTGTAAAATGATTATAAATCAATAAAAAATGTTAAAAATCTAAATGCCTGCTTATTTCTCCATAAGTGGCCTTTTTTAATTTTATTTTTCATTTTTTTATTGAAGTACAGTCAATTACAGTGTGTCAATCTCTAGTGTACAGTACAATGTCCTACATATACATAC